TTTTGGACCACTGTATGCTCCTAGTCTGAGTGATAAATACAGTTTTGTTATAAGATCATATATGATCCTATCTGTAAGCCCTAAGGGCTCCAAATGTATTTAGAAAAATAACTACCTGATTCTTTGTCCATGACATGAAGGTGACAGCTATTTATTGAAGAAAACCATTAAAAGTCACATGTAGATGATATTTAATAAATTTCAGTAATGTATAAAAAACATGTTTACAGTGTTTGTGTCTTTGGTGACTAATTACTCTGGCTTTTGTACACAATTTTTTTTACAAATAGCATTTACAAGTATACAGGTGAGACTCAACACAAGGGTCGAGGTGCAGATAACCTTGGGCTTTCCCACTTTTGCAAGGCAACATAAAACACCAGTACACATCTGCATATACCACACTGCACAGCACAGAAAAATAGACAAATACAACCAAGATTCTTAAAAAAAAAAAAAAAAAACAGAAACCCACAAACAAACCTACACAGACTTGCAGCTCTATTTTTTTGGCAGGACATGTTTTGCTTTTCTAAGTGTTTTCCAAAAAGCTTCAGAGATAAGGAAGAGTCATGCAAGTAATAAGCCACTTGGAAAAGAAAATAACTACCCAAATAACCAAAGTACCAATGTCCCTAAGCATTTATACAGCTGACTTGTAGTAGCAATGACTGACAAATAAATTAATAGACAAATCCAAGTGAGCGTATGCCATATTAGTCATTTATGAACCGTTTTTGGGGAACGTCGGAAATTCACATACTTCAAATGAAAATGGAGTCAGTCATGTGACACTGTAAGTTTTCTATAGAAGTAAACAACCAGGCAGAGCATCTTCTACAATCAACACACCACCACTCACCGTGAGCAACGCAAACTGCAATTGATGAAAGCAGGCAGCACTGTAAGTTATCAGTCTCTCATTTACTCTTTGATGTGCTTTTTGCTGGAGGCTGGGGAATGGAGTACTTCAAGTCATACTTAAAAACAAACTAACAGTGGAAAAAGAGCTTTCTTGAATGCTGCTAATTATAGAAAATGAGCCCTAGTGATAGTTTCTGCCAAAACTGGGAGAATACTTACAGCACTGGTCTCTGCTTGCTCTACTTCCCTTCCCGCAGCGCAGGAGAGTGTCGTGTCCCCACCCACGAGGGCTCTGAAGAGCAGAGCACTGCCAATCACCCCAGCCACAAACACAGCAGCTCCACCTTCTTCTGTCAGGTGCCTTCCAAACAGCAGTCTGTAATAACCATAAGGCATGATTAGAGTGAGACACAGAAAACGAGGGGAAACTGGCAATTAATTTATCTGTAACAAGTTCTCTCTCCTCTGTCCATCACTGTAGAATAAATGCCTCTCTTTTGGGAGTTTCCCTTCTGCTTGATAAATTCTTAAAAGGAGGATTTAAAAAGAAYGAGTCTTAAGCAGTGCAACAAGATTTACAGACAGATAATAAGCACTGAGCCTACACACACACGAGACTCTCTATGCCTTGAGTCCAAGGAGTCAGTCAAGAACCAGGACTCCCCACTACCTAAGGCCTCTGTGGGGCACCAGGGAGCAACTGAAACAATTCAAGGTCAAAGATGAAAAAGGATCAAAGCACAAAGAATATGTTTGTCTGTTACTCTGATAAGTTGAGATTATTCGCAAGGACAAGAAGAAATTGCTTGTGCTTCAATGAAACTAGGTGGTATTAAGACTGGAATCATTTATTTCAAAGAACATGAAATGTAGTCGATAGCCAACCAGTATGGGTTAACTGGGGGGTAGTTTTGGGGTGCAGAAAGTTACAAGGCCAGCTATCCCTAAGTGACCACAGCAGTAATACTTAACAAGGCTGAGACTGCCTAGTTAACAGTATGAGAACCTCCAAACCTGGGTTGCTTATGTGGTGGTGTTTGGGCAGCCATCAGGAGGGACAGCGAGGGATCTAGGAACAGAAGATGTGAGGCCYGAGGTATGCAGCCAGGTAAAGGATGAAGGAGAGGCACAAACACACTTGGTGTTACCAGAGCGGCAACACCAGCCTGCAGAGCCGAGCCACGGGATGCCAGAGACCTCCAGGGATGTCCGTGTCCAGAGGAGTTTGTGCAGGAGGCTGCAATAAGTAGAGGTCCTGACTTAGTCCAATGTCAAGTTGTGGGGAAGGAGGAAAAAGTTATACTTCAAAAGTAGGTATACACAGTTTATATGTTTTAAGACTAATTAGATTTACAGCTGTAGGTAATACTGATGTAACTGCAATTCACCAATGTGAAGTGTTTCTAGATTATCCATAATGCAATTAATTTATTAGTGTTTTCAATGCATGCTGCTTAACAAACATTATAGCCTTCTGATTCAGATGCATGCAAAGTCTGTCAGCTGCAGGGGGGAGTTCACCCTAAACTAGCAGCATCACATATAACATGTGGCTTTGAGTACCACTCAAACTTTGAGTACCACCGGCCACTGCCCCGGCCCTTAGCCAAAAGGAAGAAGGCATGGCACAGAAACAGCAGGTTTCATAGAACACAGCAAGTGAATAGCAAGTCTTCAACTATCTTTTGCTTAAGAACAAGAAACCTCAAATCCAAAGATTTGGTAGAATCCACCTTGGGACTGATCCTCACAGCTGGAACCCCAAATGGAATGAAGATCCTCTCTACATTTCTGATCACTAAGTCTGGGGCAGACGGTAACAGGAAAGCACTTAAAAATAAATAAATAAAGATACTCACTCCTGCATTTATAAGCAAAGGTTCAAGCCACAAGTCACAAATTCTTGAAGTAAAGCTGTGTGTTCCAAAACTRTTCCCACTCACCCCACTCCTTTCTGGTCAGCACAAGCTACTTTGGAGCTGGGCTAGTATATTCCAAAATAGCTGAAGGTTTATATTCATTTAAAGTAGTGGCTTTGGATATTCTGCTGCTAGCTGCAGGTATCATTATACAACTTGCCTGCAGAAGCCACGGCTCTGGAGCAGATTTTCAAAACAAGATTTTCTAGCTGGCCTGATCCTGTGTAGCCCCTTCAGCATCAAGGGCTTGACCATGACTAACAGACAGCGCGAGCAGCAGTAGGAGGGAGCTGTTCACRTTGCACATGCTCTTAGTCATGATGCCTTTTAGATTCTAACTAATGCTTTTACCTGACATTTCAGTTTCAGCCATACATGACTGCACACTTCCTAAACCACATATAAGCTGTCTGGAAAGCATTTTGCATGTCAATAGTTTATAAAAGGCGGCGTATATGTCACGTTAGCAGAGAACATGCAAACAAAAATAAACCATATAAACATACTCACCATCACGTAGAAAACATAATGCAAAAGAAAATGCAAGAAAACATTTTGCTAGTTTGACTGCTATTTTGCATAGGTTCACATTAAGTCACAGATAGACATCCTGTTTTATATAAGGATAACAGAAAAAAARCATATGTCATTACTACGTTCAATATTTCATCACTATGTTTGAAAATCCTACAAGTGTTTGATGTAAGTGAAATGAAAAATATTTCATACTTAACTCTGCAAGTCTTAGTAAATTTAAACCACAAGTTCCTTGACTAAAAAGGGTTTCACAGCGTAAACCAAGATCAAAATGAACACAAGAATTAAGGTTCATACTCTTTATCTTAAAAGAAAATATCACAATTTATATTAAGAACTTTTTAAAGTGTTGTTTGTAAAGAAATGCAAAGTATAAGMGCATACAAGGCAGTAATAGTGTTGTCTCACATTTGGTTTAGTTGCAGGCAAGACAAGATTATTGCTTTAAAGTCTAACCTGATGAAATAAGGTCAGCTTTTCCTGTGCAATATCCACACTCACATAAAAATACATACAACAGAACCACAGAACAGAACCACAAAAAGGAGTGATGGAAAAGGAGAAGACAACTACATTGCAGCAGAATCCTTCAGAAAAAAAGTAATCAACCAAAAAAAAAAAAAAAAAAAAAAATCAGTATTCTACCACACTTCTGTTGTTTCCAAACTAGCACGCTATTATCTCATAAGAACAAATACCCTTCAGTTCAACATAAACAGCGTAAGTACAAAAAATATCAAAACAAATCAGCTTATATTTATCCATAAAATGTTTATTAAAAAAATCCACAAAGTATTTCCCTCTCATGTGTTTAGAAAATACAGAATGCATTACTGTCAAAACTGAATACAACACTTTCCTATTAAAAGAATAAACCTGTTCATATGACAAAACTAGAAGTGTACTTCTGAACAACACTACTGCCAAAACCTACCTAGCAATTCTTTGGTCTTTTGTTGACAAGCAAGAAAAAACAATTTAAGTTTCTAAAGCACTCTYAAGAAAAAATACACATACAGAAAGTAAACTCTGCATATATTTTGGTCTGTCAAATCTGGAACTAGTAATAGCCATGATCATATACTTATTAGCTTCAGGATACCCTTAACACAGGAGCACAACTGTGCGTGGGAGAGACTGATTCACTTACTTGTTTTCATTTAAGGTTTCTAGTTTAACTGAGGAAAATACTTTCATGTGGTCTAGAGAAAAATCTAAGACAGTAAAGTCAATAAAAAAATAAAATAGTCCAAATGTAGACAAAATGCTAGCACATCATCAAGGGTATTCAAGTGAAGTAGTAACACCATTAAAAAAAGGCAACGCTGTATTCAAGCCCACAATATGATGTCCACTGTCACACATCCTTAGAAACAAAATATTAGAAAGTAAGGACCYGATACAACAAAAAGATTTAACAACTTAGTTAAAACGCAGTAACAGAAGTGAATACCAAAAAAAGGAATGTTAAGAGCAGTAGTTGGAACAAAGTGAATTTTATTGAGATCACTGTAGTTACCAGACATATGAAACTTGCAATGCACTGAAAACCCATTTGCAGTAAAGAGCCCATATACTAATGGCAAGAAGAGATTAAGGGGGAAAAAAAAAAAAAAAAAAAGGAAATACTGAGAACAGGTTTTCAGCAAAAAGCTGAAAAATGAATACCACTCTCTATTCTAACAACTTCCAACACTTAAATGAAATATTAAATGAAGCTGCATAATCCAAGTTTACTATCTGGTCTACATGTGCTAATACCTTACCATAACAGAGAACCCAGTATGTTACTTAACATCCTTTTGAACATTACCAAGCATTACCATAACATACAAGGAAATACCACCTATCTCGATGGGTCACACCTTACAGATGCATTACATATACAGACAGTTTTGTGAGAGCTAATCAGTCTGATGAACTAAGTTTGWGAGAGGAAGAGCTGAACTAGTCAGTAAGCACTAATATCTGCGTTATGGTAACTTAAGCTAGGGTGATGCCTCTAGTAGGCCAAAATATTATCTGCAGTTTTGACATATTGAAAATACCAATAATCAAACAGTTATGACAAATACTGCTTGTAACAAGACGCCTGAGCAAAAACATGGTAATTCCAAATTTCACATCTGCATTAACAGATTAGTTTCCAGCTCTTCCAACAGAAGCAATATAAAATGTACTATTAAATCCTTGGCTGTATGCTAAACAAAGTCCCAAACTATTCTAACAAAGGTCAGATGCTGATAAACAGAAATTGTTATCTTTAGTTCTTGAAAGTGATTCTCACCTTAAAATATACTTCTTTCTTTGGAGGAAACCCTGTTTTTGCTGAGTTTCTTCCTAATACTAAATTGTTGTGAAAAAATAGAGAGCGGAGGGGGAGAAAAAGGGGAGGAAATCAAAGCATAAGGATCTTCACATTAACATGAAAGAAAATGCCAAGAACTCCACCAGACCATCGAGAAGGGAAAACAAGCCTTGCTAAGCTACTGTAAGGTACTCTGTGAAAAGACTKAACTGTTACACATTGTCTAACAAGTGCATTTCAATTGACAAAAAGAAGTTCTAGAAGGATTTTCATGCTGCAAACATATATGAGTCCAACAGGTAAATATTTCAGTTAATCACCATTAGTTTTTCTCAAAGTCAGGCAAACCTCAYGGTCAGACACTGAATTGTTCAATACATGGAGACTTCAAAATCCAGGATCCGTARCTATGCCCCTCTAAGTAGCTTTTCAGCAAGTTTTTAGCTTCTTGGTACGATTCGGATTTAATCTAAGAAAAAAAAAAATCTTGAACATCTAACAAGGTTCATGTTCTTTAACATTAGCATCTAGTAGACATAAGCACAACCCTGACAGACATCAATGACTAAATTTTAAAATTCATTCAATTGCTGACAGCTAACAAGAGTGTTACAGTGTTTTTACAATTTTTAAGAAGTATCATTTTAGATTGCTGAATTGCTGATAAAATCTGCATTTTTTCAGCATCTTTTTCAGCTGCAGTAATATTTCTACCCAGAAAATATGTTAACATTCAATACTATTTAACAAAAGCTAAGCATATGGTGAATAAACACTGAATTAATAGGCGTTTCAGTTATAAAGGAGTAGTTAAATTATTTTAATAAATGCATTACAGCAAGCTYTCTCAAGAAAAACAAGATATATACATTTCATGAAAGTCTATATTATATAAAACAAACAAACAAACAAAAAAAAAACCTTTGCCCCTTGTCCCAAGGTGAAAAAAATAATACTTCCAATGAAGTATTCCTACTTCCTAAATGACTAGTTCCTAAATTTTCCCCCTTATTAACTTACCTTAGCTTCATGGTACGTATCAATCCGAAGCAAGTCACTCTGTTTGGCTTCCTCGGCCAGCAATCTGAAACGACTGAACATGGCAGCCTTGCAAAGGCGACTTGCCATGTAAGCACCACTTTTGAAGGGTGAACTACAGGTAGAGTAGGAGTGGAAAACAAAAAAAACACAGTAAAACTCATGAAGAACATATTAAGCATCACAGTTTTATTGCTGTGATCATCCCAGGAATCTTGCACTCCCATGTTTTCTGAATTTGGTGATACTACTATTTAACTGTGAATGAATAGATGATTAGACAGGTCAGCAGCTGTGAGTTTAAATAACCCAAGTGAAACTCATTTCTGAATTGGAATTTATCTGAATTAATACAATAATTACTGTAAGCACTTCTAAAACCATCAAGAATGCACTAGCATAAAGACAGAATTCAAAGCACTATTTAAAATCAAAGAATTCAAAGAACTATCTAATTCCATATTTTGCTATGTCACTGATGAGTTGGATTGCTAAAATGACATCTAAATATAGATTAAATTCAGATAGTGGAGGTAAGAATACCTCTCACCTGGATAATGCTGTGGCCTCTACATACAATTTAAAAGTCAAATACGCAGATGGATCCACACGGATAATAACAACAGCCACTGTTTTTAATATAAGGAAGAAGAATCCTAACCTTCCGATGGTTTTTCCACTTAACCCATCCACAACCTCCAATGATGGGTCTGATGAAGACCAATTCAAACTGAGAGACCTCTGCTCAGCGTCCATTTGAACGGAGTGAGCAGCATTCACCAAGTAAGTATGGGATCTATTGACCAGATAAAGCATGGGAAGCTTGGCTGAAAGTGCATCGTCAATTCGTTGCTTTATAGCTATTTCTAGTCCTCTTGTATCCTTGCAATTTCCATCTCCTGTTTATTGAGAGCAAAACCARTCATATATAAGTACATCATCATATTTTTCAAAAATGTCCAGAACCCAAATGTTGCAATTAGCCTGAATTATAAGCATTTCTCCACAAAAAAAAAAAAAAAAATCCAATATTCAGTTCACATAACAAAAATACTTTCCCAATTCTCCAGAGACATTATTATTTTAACTAAATGTCTCTCTTTTAGGACACTTATTGTTCATTAATTCATTGTATTCTATGCAAATACACTGTTACAATAAGCGAAGTAAGATGAATTTTGACATTCTAGAYTTTAAAAAGCAACAAATAATAAAATACACCCACTAATTTGCTCACATTACTCCATACTGTAGTATATTTCACCTTATTTTGGGSAAGATCTGAGAGTATTATACTAGAAACTATTTTTTTTCAAAAAAACTAACAGTATTCCTGATCRTCTACTAAATAAACATAGTGGCCTGTAGCATCTCAAGTAATGGTCATAAATATCTATCAGATAGGACAGTAATGAATTACTATGCATTATTATGCATATTATTATGTACTATGCRTTCTTATGCATGCTTTAAGCATCAATCAAGTGAGGAGACAAGAAAATTTTCAATTTCCTTTCACAGAAAGTGCCCAAACTTCCTCAGAAGGAAGGGCAGGCAAAGCACTCATGGCTGCAAGTCCTTTTGGAGCACGGCAGAAATATTGCTCTGTGTTAGAAACGGACAAGCACTACAGCTTCTGTACTGGGGAGGAGTTTCACCATCACTCAGTCCTACAGTTTAGTGTCTAASGGTGTCACTCCAAGTTCCACTATGTGACTGAAAACACACAAATRGTCTGCTAAGCAATTTCTTAACTATTTTGTTACGAATTAGTGCTGAATTTCCTGCTACTAACACTTAATAATAGCAGATCAATTTGACAAGTTAAAAAAAAAAGTTGTACATTTGGGCATTCCAAAAATGAGTTTAAGCAAAACAAAAAACCAATCAATATTTAGTATGTTTTAAAGAATCTGTAATTGTTAAAAGAAATACTTTTGCTTAATCCATGCTTTTACAAAATATAAATGATATGGAAAATAAAGAATTCCTCCAAGTCATGAAAATGTGYGTTAAACTTACCCATGAGTATAGTGTTGATATAAACTGGTTGAATGAAGTGACTGAGCAAGGCTCCCTGAATGCCAACCACTTCCCATTTTGTTAATTTGTCACTGGCTGACATGCTGTTCACACTAACGATTTTAGGGGGACAACAAACAGTCAGGTAAATCTTGCCTTCCACAGCAACATGAAGGCTCAATTCTTCATTGGCTTCATAAGCAGATACAGATTGTGGATTGAGGTGTCTTTAAAAGAACAGCAGCAGCAAATAAAGACAAGTTCTAGTGAGAAAGTACCATTACAGACTGCTATAAATTCATACCTAAYGCTGTTTCCTCCCAGCAAACACTCACTGGAGATCTGGGCTTTATATTTAATACTTGGTGAGTTTTATCATCAATTCATTCAGCTATTTAAAYGATTTAAATGCCAAATTAAATAAGAAATAGTAACTCTATCTAATCATAGCTATCACATTCTTATAACACTAAAAAAAGAAAATAAACTCTACACACACTGCAAGCACATTATCACCATCTATGACAGCAGCTGGCTGTTATCTTGCAAAGAATCAGCTGTAAGACTGTTCATTGCCATCAAAACCTAATTCTAATTCTCCATTATTTAAAACAAGCAGATGCAACGCATCAGTGAGGCCCAACAACGCAGACAGTGATTATACTCAAGCAGAAAACTGCTTCCCCTCTTMCCTGCAGTGCAACTAGAAGTGAGAGCTTGCGGTTTCGTGCTATCCCCAACGTCAGCGTAACTTAATATGCTAGCAGCAAGAATTGCTACACTGCAGCTGCTTAAGCTTTGCTTAGGCAGTGTACTAAAGCCTGCTAGTCAGAGACCACATTCTGCTACTCAAGGGATTACCTGGGCAAGTAGCTACGTCACAAAAAAAGTATCTTTAATCACTGTATAAGTAGACAAATTTGCTGTGGTAGAAGAAAACACTTCCAAAAGTTGTCCTAACAAATACACATACACTGACTAGGCTAGACAAAAAGCCATGAGAAAACAGGCCAGGCGGGATTTGTGAAGCACACAAGCTTAATCCAGTTTAATTAATTATTTCCTTCTATAGGCTTCAAGACTGAAGTCATACAGCCTTCCAAAACCACCAGGTGACTTGCACTAAACTGTCCACAACTTTACAGTCCACAGACTATCACAATTCTTCCTTCCGAACATCAGAAGAACAGTATGGAAGCAAGTAAAGCAGCCTGCTATTTTGCACATACAAAGAAGTTACAACTGTGGGACTTGCAGGGACTGCATCATTTTAYCTCCATTATAGCGCTGCAGTATTGTTTGTAGTTTATTGCTTTAAAATGTCAAAACTATTTAAAAATATTCAGCGCTCTAACAGAATTTGGAAGCATAAGGGCAAGCATAGGAGTAGGTTTTCTCTGTTGAGTTTCTTTCACTACCTCCTTTTTCTAGGAAGCAGAACAGAAGCTACAGTTCAAGACTTCCACGATCTTGCTGTTTGGTGCTACAATACGGACTAGATGAAGCCACCATATCTTTTTCCTCAGAGGCGAACGATGAATTAGTACTTGAACAATATTTCAGAAGGGGATTTAAAATGCAAGTGGGTATCTTTAACTAATAAAACATCATCCTGAAGATTTAACTCACATCAATTTTTTGTACCATATTGAGCAATATCACACATACCYATCACCAACATCCTGTAAGTTAAGTTGCTCCCAAAATAAGAAAATCTATTCAGAGTCCCCTTGCTATTTCAGAAACATGTAAGGATGAGTACTTTCATATGCATTGAGTGTTTCTCACTGTGATACAGAATAATCTTCCACTACAGCATCTCTGAAAAATCCCATGTACTTACAGCTGTGATTTTAACTGAGCAGATCCTTTTGGCAACTGATTCATGTAGAGAAAAATATTTATATTTTGCTTCAGGGCAAGCAGCTTTGAATCTGGCACTGCACAAAATATGGATTTCTCTGCCCTTGTTTTTTCACTATAGAACAGCAAAAGATGTCTATAAAAATATCTAAAATAAAGTGTCAAGGAAAAAGAAATGTTAAAGACAACATTTTTTTCCACAAATGTACAATTAAGATATGAACATTCACATTTAATTCACATTTTGTTATGATTTTGGAAAATAAAAAAGAAATGCAATATGAAACCAKAAGTTAGGAGTTAATGCAGTAATACAAATTCTCCATTGCAGAATGCAACTTCCTCGAGACTGACTTTTCAAAAAGGGCGGGAGCTGCCAACAGCTCCCTGCCCGCAGGGACGCTCACCGGAGCAGAGCGCGCCTCGCAATAACCACGGCGTGGCTGTCGTGCAGCACTCTCCCACGAAGATGAAAGCACTGACTGTAATTACATTCTCCTGTTCCTAGAGCTACAACTTCATGCTGTCCGGCTGAAAAAAAACAAAACCAAAAAACCAAGGCTCTATGGGGGCACAAGCAGCCAAGGCTCTCCCCTCTGCTCCCCAATACCAATATTGGAACAGACTTGCCTTTTTCAATGATGAAGGCAGCCAGGGAACTGCCACAGCTCTGGTACTCCGGGTATTTGGCAGTCAGGCTGTTAAAGACTCCTTTGAGCGTCTGCAAAAGCTTTTGATATATAAGYGATCTTCCTTCTAAATTCAACAATAAATAGGTAAGCATTCTGGGGGAAATCTGGCAGTATTAACCACTTACTGAATTATAAATCTCAATAAGAGTATTTCTTACCAAAACGTATCTTGGAAACGTTAACAGGGTTTGCTGGTGTTTTGGGTTCAACAGGAATACAGGGAGGACCTAATAATATAACAGAGTATCAAAACTTAAAAAAAAAAACTTGCAAAAAATACTAAAAATAATTTTCTTGAGCAGAGACCCTTAACAGAAGGCAAATGTTACTGTAACTGATTATTTTGGAAGCAGCAATTCAGTGCTGAAGATTTKTAATTATAAAAACTCAAAAGCATTTACAATTAACTTCATATTGCTGTTACCTTGTGAGAATTACATCRAATGCAACAGGTACAAATAAAATACTCCCTTGAGCATTTCTCCCATATCACAGCCTCTTCAGAAGTAGCTTCAGAACTACACGCTACATAATTTTGACCAAAGAAGGCCCCAATACAGAAGTGTTAGTAAGCAATACAGCTTGCATAGAACATTTTTAAGCAAAGCTCTTCACACTTTCAGGGAGTGTTGTTACAATATTTACCTGACTTTGCAGAACTCACTGTCTCTGCACCCTCCAAGTCAAGTAGCTCAACAAGAGCCAGTTTAGCAGCATTTGCTTTAGACTCTTTTTTGGTTTGTCCCAGCCCAGTCTTGTAGCAAACACCATCCACCACAGCACAGAAAGCAAAATAAGTTGCTATGTTATCACCTTTAATAGAGAAAAAGGTACACAACACATGATGAGTAAAAYTACAGCACAGTACTTTTATTTGTATCTACATGCATTTGTAGTCACTACAAGGACAAATGACAGAAAAACAATTTTAGGAAATATATGTACCCTCAAGAATTACGGCTTTTTTCTGCACCGTTCATTATGTTTTATTTGAGCCTCAACAAACACTAACAGAGAGCTACATTTCCTAAATAACCAGCAACACAGCTCTGCTCTTGTGGCTGTAATTATAGGGTCCACTTCTCAGAGACATGACAGCTGACTCTCGTGCTCATTAGTAACAAATAAGAGCATGAAAAAAACACCTTACTAGTATAAAGCAAAGCACCTGTGAAGGAAGGGACTACCAGTAGTCAGGGAAGGAACTAGGCACAATCAGTAACGAACAACTGTTTTCTATTTGGTTTTGTAAGAATTCGAGTTTCAGAGAAAGGGTAAATTCAGAAAAATAATCCTTTGCCAACTGACAAGAAAGATTTAAGTAAAGAAATAAATCAAAGTACACCCTCATAATGAGCTCATGAGCTCTTCAATTTATCAAAGGGCTGCACCAAATCAAGGAGATGTGATTCCAAACATTGGAATTGCTTACATCAAGTACAGAATGGTAATTGTTAAAAACTTCCACTACAGTCAGGAAAAAAAAAATGCAGGAAAAAAAAGCTCTTTTTGCAGAACTGCCACATTGCCTTTTCAACCATCATTCCCAAAGAGTTAGGAATAGAAAAACTAAGTATTTTTGCCTAAGGAAATTAGTATTTACCTGATGCACTCGTTTCTTTCAGTTCAAGTGGTACATGGTGCATTTGTGCATACTGATACAAAGCAGATACCGGGTTTACTACTCCACTTTTGTATTTTGCAATAAACTCCTCTAGCATCTTTTTTGAAGGAAGTGATGATACAGGAGCCGGATAAGCTGCTGTGCAATGCAAACGTTCTGGAATATAACCAAAAATATATATATTTATTAGGACTAAACTTAAGCCCCTCAACAGTTAACTACTTTTGATGACAGCGGTAGAAAAAAGAAATAGTCTAGAACAGTATTTCTTGATATCGAAACCTACATTTAAACACTAGCGGCACTGCAGAAGTTTGAAAGTCTGCAGCTCTAATTTTAAAATCACCAACACTTTTGAGACCTAAATCCATTAGATTATGGCACACACCAACACTAAATGTAAACACGTGTTTTCCCTCCAGCTGCTCAAGTGAAAGCAGCTGGGGGCAGACGCATAGCTGAGCAGCACATGGTTCTTCACRCTGAACAGCCCAGCTGTGGAACCCCCTGCCAAACAGCACTGAAGTTTTAGCTAGTATAAAAGCTCACAAAGCAGACAAAATAATTTAAAATACAATTAAAATTAAAGAAAAAAATAATATTTTCCCTTTATCAGCTCTAGGATACACAAAGTCACTGATTTTAGGGTACCTATAAATTCAGGCCTAGGTACACTAATCTCTCCTGGCAAACTGGTATATTTAATCTAAAAGGAGAGGAAGATAAAATTGAAATGCTTCATAAATAAATAAATAAATAAGGTGATTTTACCTTGGTCTATGTATTTAAAATAAATTTAAGGGAGGTACTGTTATTCTCAACGATGGCTACAAAAATTAAGGCAGCAGCGCAGGGCACGTATGTTTTRCTAAGCGCTTTTAACACGTAATTCRGAATTAATCTGCAAGTTGGCAGCGCTGCAGGTTCACAGCCTGCGCCGGAGTCAGGCTGCTTACGCCAATAACCTTCCATTGGGGAGCAAGACTGAAGCTACAGCGAGAGGGAAACAGGGGGACATAAGGTCAGGGGAACA